ATATAACTACATCATTTTTGTCTGGAAATTACGTATTTTTTTATTAGATCTTGAAACCCATATAAGTTGTTTTATCCCAAAAATATTCATCATTTTATATGAAGTTTCGTGTGTAAATGAAAATGAAGGTATCGTATTTTTGTTTAAATACTTTTAGCAATGAAATTTATTGGAATTGAATTACAAACAATACAAGACTTCTAAAAAAAATCAACATTAATTAATAATCACTCAAACCGATAGAGACCATGCATAAACCAAAACACACATACAAAAACACTTGCCAAATAAAAATTCATTTTCGTTTCAACGCAAAGAACAACATGACCTTCTCACGGTAGCTAGATTCAACCTTCTCGGTGAGTCCAATGAGTTTGGCGGTGAGACGGTCGAAGATGTCATCGAGGAGATGGTCACCGAAATGGTTGATGAAGAGAGCTCCCATTGTGGCCTTTATGCAAACCATCCATTGCCTCACATCCTCCTCGTTCATTGGTCGTTTGAGCCAGGTCGTGGGGTCCATAAGCTCCATTGACTCTACAGTGAAGCAGTCATTTTTCTCTACCAAGATTGTTACCTCCTCAGGCGATGCCGAGTAGATCGGTATGTTGAAGGTATCAACTTGCTCTTCGGTGATCAAACCCTACATGCCCATCTCACTAAACTCAATCAACCCGTTATTAGATAGACATACGTTATAGTGCTTTTAAGCAGCAGCAAAAAAAGAGACATATATTCGTTAAAGTTTCATTGTCATTTTCTGTTCATGTAGGAGTATATCAATCAATATAAGAAAATGTCTTAGGACCATCTCAAATTATTAGAATGTCATGTGCAAGATCTATGTTTAATGTTTTACAAGATTTTTATTTTAAAGAAGGATCCCAATTATATACATATTCTGAATTTGGAACTCTATTCGAATACTATAGTTACAAATTCTAAAAGACAGTCCTGGTGTCATATCCATGAAGTTTACTCGGAATTTTCTTTGCAGAATAAGCAACACATATTTTTTTGTTGGTTTGGTGTCTTGAGTAAGTCTAGTTATGTATCACTATTTTTTATAATACTAAATGATCTCATTTATAAAATTACCTCGGATTGCATTTGAATGAGAACATCAGCCATGGAAGTATACATGATACTGTCGGCAAGATTGGAGAAAGACATTCCTTGAGGGATCCCACACATTCCGACAAATAAAAGACCTCCCCTCACTATTTCTCGAGCCCTAGCTTCTAGAAACTTCTCCATGTCCCGACCAAACTGCTCTTCATAAGCCTTCACCACTTCCTCCGCCGCATTCGAGTAGTGAACCTTTCCTTTATTCCACGCATTAGAATCTTTAACCAACACCTCTTTTGGAACACTCGATAGCCAGTGTGTGGCTCCCACCGTCACTACAATGTGAACGGAGGATTGATGAAGAACACGGCCATAGAAAGAACCGGGGACACCGACGGCAAAGTAACTCCGGTCTTGAGGGAGAGATGTGAAGAGAGTGTTGAAGTCGTTTTTTGGGAGGTCGTTAAAGAAAACGAGGAACTCTGGTTTTGTGGTCTTTAGGGAGTTTGATCTTAAGCTGGTTTCAACGGATTTTATGATGTCGTCGACGAGAAAGAATGTATTTGGTCCAGTTGCACAACCAAGATCGGCTATATGGAATGTGTTGGAGTCATAGATTAGGGTTTTTGCATCGAGTTTCTCCATTATCAATTTGTCTATTGTCTCTTTCAGCAAACTGGCTGTTCTTCTCTGTTCATACCAAGCAGTAAAGTATTATTTACAATTCTTTTAAATCGATACTAATTTTTAGTTTAACCCAAAATTATTCGAAACAAACTCAGTTATAACTTGATATCTTTCTTCATTAATAGTGGAATCAAAGCTTTCCAGAATTATACATAAAGGTATCTATATGAGATGAGATCCAAACCAATAAAACAAACGTACAAAAAAAAAAAATAGAAGTCATCTTGTTCCAAAAAGAAAACAAAATGTTTATACTCAGACCTAGATTTAGTAAAAACTTATATCCCCTTTTTGATCCCTTCTAGGTTTTAGCTTAATTTTATGATTTAGCTTTTCGTAAGACAGTTAAGCCGCGCCTAGTGATCTTCGGTGGTTTTTTGAAGAAGGAACCAACTTTTGATTAGAAAAGTCAAATTATATTCTTCCTTTGAAGTCATGAGGCTTCAAACTGTTCCGAATAGCCAGCCAAAGTACGTAATATCTTATTTAAAGTGGATGATTTTCTTAAATTATATTTTTCTAACTTCTTAGATTAGAATATATATGCAAATATTTACAGACTTTAGTTTCATAATATGAAATATTTAGTTTTGCACAATCATAAAAAAAAAGACTTTCAAGATCATTTTTGACATAGTTTTATAACAATTGTAATAAATTATTTAAACTAAAATATGACGAGTTCCTTTTCATTTCTATAGGGTTTTCTTTGTTTAGCTAAAATCAGTATAATGATAATGGAATCACTTATATCTTTCATCAAATTTTATCACTTTCACATTTTATCAACCACATATTAAAATTAGTAACTAGAAAAAGAGACATATCGATCTATCAAATTATTTTTTGATGTTTTAGAATGGTTTTATAGAAATCTATTCAGCTAAAAAAATGTTATTAAATTCTCCATTATTTTATAACTTATCTGACATATATCAATTTGTTGAATCAGAAGTTAAAGACCAAATTCACATTTTATCCCCCCAAAAAATGCGTTTACAAACCAATTCAACATGCATCGTTTTAAAGTTATTCTAATAAGATGAAAAAATAAGCATGAGAGATATGAAGAAGAGAAGAAAAATAAACAAAACTGAAAAAAACCTGCAAATGGGAATTGTTAGAGTAGCTGTAGGGGCCATCTCCTCCACTCATAGGAAGTGAATTAAGAACAATCTCTACTTTCCCCATTATAATTTGGTCCTTTTCTTCTTTACTGATCGGTGTAGAGTCTGTTGCCTATCATTTATATAGGCCATGCAGTTGCAATCAACACTTAGAGTGCTTATATTATATCTTAACAATAATTGGAATACTAACGCTTATTACTTTATTATTTAGCTTAAGAGTCAAAATCTCTCTTCTATACCGACACAGTACTGGAGAGAGGACTAATTAACATGTTCTGATTCTCAGTCTAAAAAGATTAATCATGGATTCCCCATATTCTTTTTGTTTCCAAAAAGTTCACTCTTCGTCTTTTGTATGTGTGTGTGTGGTCATAATACAAATGTTTTTTTTTTAACTAGCTAAATATTAGAGTCTATATCAATCCAATAGCAACAAAACCTCAAATTAAACACACACACATAGAGAAAGTGAAATAGAACTATTCCGGAATCAAATAGCCACACATAGACATATATACACGATTACATGCATATAACCTACTAGTGCTTGCTTTTAGAATTAAAAAAAAAATATGGGAAAAAGGTAGGTTTTTAACATGATTTTAGTTGTAAATCAATTAAGATTTTTCTTCAAATCAGTCAAAATGGCCAATTATATGTAATAAGAATCTTACTATTATAATAACTAGACTAGCTAGGCAGAATCTTAATTGGAGTGGAGTTGAAAGTTTCTTTCTTTGTATTATATTTATTAATATATATGGTTTACATTTAACTAGTAAAGTTAACAAATCAACCTCTATAGTCTCTACTGCATTGGTTACTTAAAAAAAAAAAAATCAAGAATCTTCAATGGACTACTAACTATGTTTTTAAATATAGAAGTTCATAATAAATTATCAGTAATTTTTATTACAACTTACAGTGGTCCCACGACGTACAAGGCTTACAGTAAACATAATTACTTTCTTACAAAAATTGCAATGATTTCATTGAAGCTGAACAAATTTGCGTGATAAAGCTAAGTAATCATAGGGGCATCAAATTAAACAATAAATCATAGGCTTAAGTAAGATATATGCCCATTGATCTCCAAAGGAGATGCTCTGTACTAATATCCAAGAGTAACTCAAAAGATGCCAAAATCGATGATAATACAGTATTTGTTTATATCCTAATCAATATGTCTCTATTGATTCCTACTTAATCAGTTTGTTTATATATCTATCATTGTGTCTTTCTTGATTACTTACACAATCCGAATGATAAACGATAAACTTGATGATAGTAAAATAGTGGAATAGTTAGAAAAACTGAATATAAAATTTATTCTGACTGAATATGTAGATTTTTCCTAGTACAATCATATCAGATTAATAATGATTTATTTATTTTTGATATACTTTTAATCTTTTAACACATCAAAACCGAAGTCTAGCATTGTAAACTCATTGGTAAATAACATTTTCGATTCGTATAGAATACATTTCATATGTGTGTGTAGAGAGATTGTATATCTCATTTTTTTTTTTCGCAAATATGGACATTTTTAAATGTGCACTAACACAAAAGAAAAGAAAAAATACAAAAGTAATCAACTCAAAGTCGTCGGTAAAAAATAGACCTGGAAGTTGGAACTGGTTCAGCTGAACTTGTAACTAATTAACGGTTTAAATCAACAGATGAGTGTTTTATATCAGCCTGATGTTCTGGATCTGAAATTTTCTTTGGGCCTGGGCCTAGTCTTAGTGGGATCTTCCAAGAAAAAAACTCCCCACCTCTTACTCGGGTGGTCAAAGCCTGCAAATTGGGTCTGGTTTCTCCTCGAGAAAGCTTCCTTGGTCTCTTCGTCGTTGAAAAAGAGGTACACTGTATTTTCAATTTCCTCGGAAACGATTTGTAAAAATGTCGTTAGGTCTAGGGTTTCCAAATTAGTCTCTCTTCATCTGTTTACTCTATTTCAATGGCCACGGTTTTGCTGGTCTCATAGATTACTAGTACCGAATGTGACTGACAGGTTAACATGTTCTGAGATTCTGTTACTGATTTGTGAACATGTAAACCACAGTTCATATCAATGTTCGGTCTTTCTCGACAGATATTTTCCTGTCGATAATGGCGTCTACAGTAGAGCTCTCTAGTGATAATGATCCGTCGAAACCAGACAGTTTATGTGGTCGCGTTGTGACCGAGGATCCAGAAATTGATAACTGGATTTGGACTATCGAGTACCTTGCGAAATTCAAAAATGAGCTCTGGATGCTTCATGGTAATCGAAATTTTCCAGTCAGTTTTCAGTTTCTTTTGATTCTTGATTTCAGTTTTCAAAGATTCTTGTTTTTTTTTTTATTGCAGATGTGTTTGAAATGGGTCCTAAGATTCCTGATTATCTTGGTGAACATACCAATGAGATGGTAGCTTTCAGATGCTTAGCGTCATTGTTTGATTCTTCTACTTCGTTACAAAGTAAAGAAGTTGTTTCTGATGCTAACTCAAAGATCGAGTTTGATTCGTCTGAGAGCTGTGAGTATGTGCTTCAATGTATCTTGGATGAGGTACAAATGTTTAATCTTTTATGTGGTTATTGATGTTATACTTCTCTACTTAGATTTGCTCGATTCAAACATTCTTTTCGCAGATACCCTTGTCGGAGCTTAAACCAGGTGCACCGGGACTATCGAAGTGGAATCTTGTACCGTTTATCAAAAGCAAGCTCCTTTCCCTGCCAAAATGTGCTTTGGAACTGGTATTAGGCTTTTTTTTTTTATTGCTTTAGGTAAACAATATGAGGCTTTTTGAGGTTTATGTTTGTACATTCGTTTTTGTTTGATCAGATGATTGAACCATCCAGTGAGAAGGATACTGGAGTATCGCCTTGTAATGGTCCAGAGGGTATGGGAACTGATGGCAAAGAGACTGGTCAAGTTACATCTCGAGTGGCAGATCCAGAACTTATGGGGAGAGTTGAAGAAGAAAGACAGTCGTTTGGTCATGGCTCTGGAAATGGAGCTGATGAGATTAGTAGTTCCCATGCGTCGCTGGAAACAAGAGACGAGGGGTTTCGAGACGAAAGCGATGGTCATGTGTCAATTCTCTCAGAGAAGAGATACAGATGCATTCAGTGCAAAGGAAGCGGGAAGCTGTTGTTTTGCTCTAGCGACGGCTGTACAGTCATGGTTCATGAGAGATGTATTGTGGATTCGCCGCCTGTTTACGATGATGCTGGCAACTTTTACTGCTCCCTTTGTGCTTTGACCTGTATGAGAACTGATGGCAGAGAGACAAATCAAGTTACGTCACGAATGTCTGATCCAGATCTTACGGGGAGAATAGAAGAAGACAGACGATCATTTGGTCTTGGCCCTGGAGATGGAACTGATGATGAGTCGATTAGTAGATCTCACACTTCGCTTGAAAGAAGAGACGAGGTCATTCCAAACGAAACCGATGCGTCAAGTCCCTCAGAGAATAGATACAGATGCATTCAATGCAAAGAAAGTGGGAAGCTGTTGTTTTGCTCTAGCGATGGCTGTACAGTCATGGTTCATGAGAGTTGTGTTGTGGATTCGCCGCCTTTGTACGATGATGCTGGGAACTTTTACTGCTCTCTCTGTGCTTTGAGCTGTGTTTCAGCTGAGTATCTCCAGTCCCAAGAGGAAGTTGCTAGAGCAAAGAAGAGACTAGTTTCGTTTCTTAATCTAATGTCAGATGTTAAGAAGAAGAAATCCACTAAGGAGGGTTCTAGTCTTTTGTAGCATAAAACTCTTTAAGATTGTCGGATAAAGGAAAATTACATTTGCACTCAGTAGCTATCTTCGTTACAAATTTTCCGAGGTAAAATATACAAAAAGAAGATCTCTAGTAGTCTCTGATACTTCTCATTTTAAACAGGAGTGGTTTGGTCTGAAACAGAAGCTAAACCATGCATTAACCTGACAATCTCAGTGGTGTCATCGAGGTAATACTTGGCCTTGCTAGGCTTTTGACCGACAGTACAAGCGAAAACCTCAGCTCTCGGCGCAATCGAAGGGCCTTCAGTGGAACTGCATATCACCTCGAACATGTCTTCATCAGAACGGTCATCTCCAATGCATAGAACAAACTCAGGAAGTGTTCCTCTTTCTTGCATCAACGAAAGCATCCTTCTCGCTATTAGTCCTTTGCTCACGCCCTGCATTACAACAACAAGAACAAAGAAGATGTATAACGGTACAAAAGGAAACAAATGCTAAGGTTTTTGTTTTTTGGTTTTTGGGACTGAACAGTGACACAGACCTGCGGCTTGACCTCGACATAGTTCTGTCCTCGCTTGACTGTTACAGGCTCATTAGCAAGGACGCTTTCAAGATGATCAAGAAGCTCCTTAGCTTGACATGAGCCGAAATCAGGATCAGCATCCTCGTAGCTCCAAACCAGAGCGGTCTCCTTGTCTTCTATAGTTGATCCATCGGTTGTCTCGGTGTAAAGTTCCATCACAGGTTCTGCGATTTGCTTCCAAGAACAATCTGCTGCCGCCACACAATTCTCCCATTCAACTGCCTTCTTCAGCCTGTGTGTAGTAGTCAAATAGAGTTATAAGATTTAAGAGTAATGCACATAACTGAGAAGTGTTTCGGTTTGATTACCTGAGAAAGTAGCCATGTTCAGCAGCAATACCAAGCTTCTCGCAAGGACTAAACCAGTCTGATAGTGTTTCTCGGCTTTTAGCGCTAACGATGAACACAAGATTCCCCTTGTCCCTACACAACTTGTTCAATATGTCGATTGACTTTGAAGAAGGTCTTTTATCGATGGAGCCCTGTGGCATCAAAGTATCGTCGTAGTCCAAAAGAATAGCCCTCGTCTTCGTCCTCTTGTAAGCTGATACTATGTGTTCCATTGACAGCTTCCTGAAGCTCTGGTCTAATGCCACAACTCTGAAACTGAGACCAAACCCAATTCCCCAACACCTCCTTCGGCCATGCTCAGCACAACTCCTCTCAAGATCTTGGAGGAAGCTACGAGCCCAATAACCAACATCATGTGTGCTCACATACTTGTAATGCTTCTCATGCCTTAGCTGCTTCTCCGGCTCAGCAACTTCAAGTGCACTGTCCATTGCATCAGCCACTGCATCAACATTCCAGGGATTAACACGAATGGCTCCGCTTAGCGATGGAGAGCAACCAATGAACTCAGACACCACAAGCATGCTCTTGTGACTACGATTATTCGGATCCAGCTTCAGAATCTTGTCCAGCTTCTCGTTCCCTTGACGAGACACTATGTACTCATAAGGTATAAGATTCATCCCATCTCTAACCGCTGTTACCAAACAACACTCAGCAACTACGTAATAAGCAACTCTCTCATAAAACTTCAACGGCGCATCGATCAACACTATAGGATCATACCCTGGTCTCCCAAAAGTCTCATTGATCCGTTTAACAGTTGAATACGTCTCAGCTTGCATCTCCTTAACATCTTTCCCTTTCCCTCTCGCCGGATTAGCTATCTGCACCAACACAACCTTCCCTTGCCACTCAGGATGTTGTGTAAGCAGCTGCTCCATAGCCAAGAGCTTCAAGGTTATGCCCTTGAAGATGTCCATGTCATCCACACCGAGCAGCATTGTCCTCCCCTTTCGACAGTACCGGTCAATAAGCTCCTTGACTTTCGTTTCGGTCTCCGGTAAGCTCAAAACCGACTGAAGCTGACCCATGTGGATTCCCACAGGCAAGATTTTGATACTCACGGTTCTACCGTAATACTCAAGTCCAATGTAACCTCTCTTTGATTCATAGGTAAGACCGAGCATTCGACTGCAGCAAGACAAGAAGTGCCTCGCGTAGTCAAACGTATGAAACCCTATCAAGTCCGAGTTAAGCAACGCCCGAAGAAGCTCCTCACGAATAGGCAGAGTTTTGTAAATCTCCGAAGAAGGAAACGGACTATGGAGGAAGAAACCGAGCTTGACTCTGTTAAACCTCTTCCTCAAGAACGTAGGCAAGACCATCAAATGGTAATCATGTATCCACACGAAATCATCCTCGGGGTTAATCACCTCCATGATCCTGTCCGCGAAGATCTTGTTCACGGAGACGTAAGCTTGCCACAGAGTCCGATCAAACCTGCCTCCAAGATCAGGAGAGAGTGGCAACATGTAATGAAACAGAGGCCAGAGCTGCTGCTTGCAGAATCCATGGTAGTATCTACTATACAAATCCGAAGGCAAGAACGTTGGCACACACTTGAAACTCTCGAGAAGAACCTGGTACACTTCTTCTTGCTCGTTAGGATGAATCTCTTCTTTCAAACAACCTACATAGATAACTTCAGTCGCTTCGTCTCCTAACCCATCTTTCAATTGAAGGAGCAGCGAGTTCGCATCCCAAGAAAAGTTCCAACTTTTGCTACAGCAATTACTTGAATTACTACTATTACCACTACTACTACCAATGTTGCTCTCTAGCTTTCTCTGAGCTCGTATCGGTAACTCGTTAGCTACGATGATGATACGATCTTTTGGAGGAAGATCAGAGGAAACACTTTCTTTGGAGTCGTTATCGATGTTGGACATGATTCCGGCGACCGCCATGATGCGAGGGATCTGTCGGTTCATGCGACCAAACGTTGGAGAGTCACCTGAAGCAAGCTCCAACAGATTCGAATACGATCTTGAAACCATTTTCGTTACTGCAACTTCAGAAACCGCTGTTTTTTTTTTTGTGATTAACTGAAAAAAAAGAGAGAATTTTGTTGGTACCCTTTTGAATTGTGGCTTCAAGAAATCAAGTTTTTGGTTTCAGACAAGTGAAGGTAGAGAGATTTGTAAAAAAAAAGGTTAAAAGAAAAAGCACATAGGCTTGATCGAAAAAAAAGGAATAGATTCAAGAATATCATTCACAGCTCCAAAGTAGCAAAATAAACATTAAAACGTGAGGTTTGAATTTGAGGCAGACAAAAAGAGATTTTTTTTACTGTTGATGAGAAATGCTTATGCGGTTTTGGGTGAAGGGAAATTAAAACAGAGAGAAGAAAAGGGATTCTTGTTACAAGCACTTTTTCTTCAAACGAAGATGTTCAATAGAAATTTTTCTCCTTTAAAATGTTTGAGAGTGAGATTCGGAATTAGAATTGAAAATTATAAACGAACGAAGAAAGAAGCTTTTTGGGTTTTTTTTTTTTTGTTGTTTCCTCAGACAGAAGCTTGTGCGTCTATTAACTTTACTCTTTAGTTCACAAGGACGATATTACTGTAAATGGTGATTTGTGCTTTGAAATTTAAATAATATAATCCAGTAATTCTTACTTTCCTAGACTTTATAAGTTTTTATGATCTTGTGATTCAATATTTTAAATTATTATATCGGAGTTTGAATTAAAAGATGGTGAAACACGTATGAATACAGCTGGAAAAAGCATTGATCACTCTGTTTAAATTCAAAAGAAAAACACTGTTAATTTTCTCCGCATAAGTCGACAATTACATATAACGACGAGCTTGAGACATCGTTTCTTTATAAAAAGATTTGAATCGTCTGATTGTATAAAGTACAAACATCGAACGGTTAAAAAGCTAAGAGCACGTAAAGTGGGATGTATCCTCATACCAAGAATTGATTTGATCTTATCCGTTAGTGGCTTAGACCAAAAGTGGGGCCGTTAAGCAGCTGTCCGAACAAAGAAATTAATTAAAAATTGAACATTTGGGGTTTTGGTCTCAGCACAACACCACGTGGTGTGCGTTTATTTACCCCACACATTGTTCAGCGTGTTACGTGGCGAGATCTCAGAGCTTTTGTCAGCGTTCATTTTTGTCTCATAGTAATATGCTAAATTTTATCATATGCTATGATTATCTCCTACACGAAATAGTCTGTATATTTTATTATATCGACGAAGATTATAACAAATCAATGCCATTATATAGATTCATGTTCGTTGAGTCCTAGTTTTTTGTTTACTAACCCACGTCATCATGAGGTTACTAACTTTAAAGTTTTGATTTTCAAAAAAGGTGTTACATGTGATTTAAGGTCCTGTCTAACGAACAAAATAAAAGGCATTTGCCTTAAGTAGCTTTTTAATGTTATGCAATTTTTGAAACCACAATTTTTACAATTTATTTGGTAGAAATGCAATATGTGAGCCTATATATGTGGCAGTCTCGTCCATGACGACGAGACAATATTTGTTATTCTACCAAAAATAACAAGTAAATTTCAACAAAACTCAGCCCTTACCGATTTAAGTAATCTTGGACCCTAAGAAAGGAAAATTTGTTTGAAATGGAATAATCTTGGAGACTCGGTGAAAGAGGTTATGCTTGATTTACGCATTTGCGAATATTTTGTATATTAATAGTTTTCTTGTTCTATCGGAATTTGTTTTCGAAGGACGTGGTCGAAAAACCGAACCTCGTTAACATGCACGTATCTTGTTGTCTCACCCAACAATCTTGTCCTCAAGCTCTCTTTTAAATATAAAAAACAATGCCCTCTATAATTTTTTGTTCGTATTCCACAATGTGTAACAAGGACATAAGAGCAAAGAGGTCAAAAATTGTTTAGTTTGATGGAATGAGAGATTATATGCTATGGAAGGAAAAGTTAGTGCATATAGAGTTGTAGAAGAAAATAGAATCTCCGAAGTTGAGGAATCATCTGCTGAAATCATATTAAACCGAAGCAAGCAGTTATGGATTCTTTGAATCTTTGTAATGAGTATTAATAGATAGTGTAATAACTTGTCAAAATCGAAGTTAGTTTGAATAAGAAATTAATGGTCAAAGTGGATATGTAATCAAGACTAAAAGTCAAAATGTGTATTTGTCACTCATTGAAAGTATGATGGCTATTATGCAAAACTATAAAAAAATTTTTTTTAGAATAAATCTTTATTGACTTATTTAATAAAATTGTCAATATTCCATTTATAATTTTGTATAATATCGATAAATCTGTATTGATTGAGTCGAATTATTTTACGGAATATTTCTATTTTTCTTATCTTTGTCAAATAAGAAATAAAGATTTTTGGAATATTTATGTTTTCTCTGTTAAACAAGGTATAAAGGTTTTCAGGATATTTCCGTTTTTCCTTAAGTTTGTTGAACAAGGAACAAAGATATTCAGAATATTTCCGTTTATTTGTAAAAAAGACAAATGTCTTGCGTTACAAGTCTCTCTTCCACTATAAATAAGGATCTTTCTTATTCATTATTCATCATCCAGAAAAGCAATAAGCTTTCAAACACAAAATCCAGCAAATCCCTCTCGTCTCTACAGTCTTAGGTAAGTCTCGAGAGTATAGTGTAGATTCTTAAGTTCACAGATTCTACAGTCGGGTGCTGCGACTTTAGTCTTAACACAGTTGTATCTTGAGATTATGAATCTCATTAAACCGCCACATTGCGGGAGGTTTAAAAAATTAAAGAAATAGATCATATCTCGACTCCGTGTATTGTTTTTCTTTAAAGATATTATTAAAACGTTTTATAAATTATTATCGTTTATTATTAATTTTAATCGTTTTTTGATTCGTGATTTTCGGATTTTCGCGGTTCTACAAATCTTTTAATTAATAACTATAAGATGAGTGATGTTATGGTATCAGTAACATTGACTACGAAGCTATAGTTGTCAAAGCAATAATTTAAAGACACTTTAGCATATGAAAAATCCGCACTCACTTTAGATAAGATTAATGGAGATATTAGATTGGAAAACTTGTAATTGCTCGATTCTCGGAATGAATGGTTGATCCATGACTACAAATTCTCAAATTAGAAACGAACTGCTTCACTGAAATTCTTAGAAAATATGCTTTTGAGGAAATTTATGGAATAGAGATGCGTGTGGAAAATCCAAAATACACATGAAGAGGCATGGTGGGTGAAAAGACTCATCAGCAAATATAACACCAAACAACGCTTAAAAGAGTGATTTATGATACATGGTTGTTGTATACATACATAAACCGAATATTCACTAATAAGCATTCTTCCAAATCTCCACTTCTTCATACTTAACTCAAAGCTTCGAAACAGGCAATCCTGAAAAACCCAAAAGAATACACATATTAGAGTAATTAATAGCTAATGAAACACTTTTGTTTAAGTGGATTTAGTCATTTAGATATGGTTTGTTTTGTGAAAATATGTTGTATGCACACTGCATATGAAGCAAAGAAACAATCAAAGGCTAGTATGAGTCAGTGAGTGCATTACCTAAAGCTTTTGAGTTGACGATGCTTGGGCTGGCATTGGGCGGTGAAGCGTTTTCGTTCAAGAACGGGTCGACCCGGTTCGGGTCACTCCAAATCGGGTATCCTTTGATCCTTCCCTGTGAAGACATTTTCAGAAGAAAGATGATTAAAATCTTTAGTCATTTGAATCTTAGAAAAAAAGGAGGTTTTTGGGAATGTGAATGCATACGAGGACGTTGAGAGCTGCAAGCGTAGCCATTCCTTCACGTGTCCACTGTCATCATCATAAGAAATTAAGTCAGGATCGATTTACTTATTACTGAGACTTGAGACACAAGAAATGTTTTAGTAGTCAACCTTGGAAGCAGAAGCAATGTGAGGAACAACAATGGCATTCTTCATATCAGCAAGCCCTGGTTTCATGAAAGGCTCTTCCTCAAACACATCAAGACCAACTCGGAACATCGGGTTCTCTCTTAGATGATCGACAAGAGCTGCCTCATCGATAACAGGTCCTCTACTGCAGTTCACAAGGATTGCTTCCTGAAAAGCAACCAAATCCAATCAGAACAAGATTCAAGAATCAGAGAGAGAGAGAGAGAGATCAAATGAAATATCTAAAAGTGAAAATCACCTTTTTCATAATGGCAAGCCTCTCCTTGTTGACAAGATGGTAAGTGGTTTTGTCCAGCACAGGGTGAAGACTTATCTTTTTTTTTCAGACACAACACAGTTTCAGTTTCTAGCTAAGAGAGAGGTCACACTACAAAATGTTACCAAAAAGAAGTTCAGATACCAGATCAGCCTCTCGCAGCACCTCTTCCATGGAAGAAGCTCGTTTCCATGTCACGGGTTGTTCCCCGTTTGCTTTCAAAAATTGTCCATAAGCTGCCAAATGAACACTTTCTCTCAGTTATATAAACTTCAACATGAAGAAGAAAAAGAGAAAGAGCCTTGTGTTGTAAAAAATGTACCAGTCACAAACTTCTCAAGACGAGTGGACTGGTAAAGATCATAGTAGATCAAATTCATCTTGAATCCTTCAACCTGTTTTCGAAATCAAGAGTTCATAAAAAAAATAAGGAAAGTTTTTGTGTATATATAATGTAAATCAAAATCAACAAAGATCATTGCAAAAAGAGTCTTCATATGTTTTTACCATCATTCTAGCATAAGCAGAACCAATACGTCCAGCTCCAATAACTCCAACAGTCTGTCCTTTAAGTAAGTTCCCAACAAACCTACCCAAAACCATACAATCACTATTATTAGCCTTTTCAATTCCACAATAGATTAGCTCTGAGGAACTTCAAACCGGCTTCTTGATTTTCTTCACACAAGTTCTTGATTTAAACCGGTTCTTGATTTTCTTCAAACAAGAATGAGGAAGAAAATGACAAAGTTCTTGATTTGGGTGATCTTACAGATGAGGAAGCCATCCTTCGTACAAGCCAGCTCTCATGAAACCGTCGGCTTCAACGATCCTTCTTGCGGCAGCCAATGAAAGAGAAGCAGCTAGCTCCGCCGTCGTCTCAGTCAACACTCCCTAAAAACAAAATAAACATCATAAATCCTTGCCTTTACCTAATTTCAGTTATAAACCGAAAATCAAAACGGAGAAAAGATATACTTACCGGAGTGTTACCGACGGCGATTCCGTACTTATTGGCGGCTTCAACATCAACGTTGTTGTAACCGACGGCCATGTTACTGAAAGCTTTCCCTCCAGCTTTGCTCAGAGCTGAAAACAGAGTCTCTCCCCAATCTTCCGTCAACTATAACCAACAAAACTTCAACCGATTTTACTTTCAAATTGTATAGAATAAAGCATTTGTCTTTATCTCTTTATTTTTCATTACCTGACCGATGACTCCATCACACTTGTTTCCGATCAGGTCAATGATGTCTTCTACGGACAAGATCGTCTTCTTCAAGTGGCATATCTGTTATTCCAAACAACAGAAAGAGAGAAACTTTAGTGTAAGAAACTTAACCAATCTGTAATTGCTTACTGCAACGAAAGCAATAGAGAATTTACCTCGACACGACAACCTTGGTCAATCAAGAGGTTGATCCAGCGAGTTCCAGGCATCGGTTTCGTGCTGACGACTCTGTACTTTCCATTGGGATTGTACACTTCAATAGCCACCGGTTTCGCCATGGCAGAAAAGAAAAAAAAAAGCTTCAAGAGGGAGAGAAAAGTGTTTCTGTGGCGAGAGTTCGGAAACAGAGGATCTTAGCTTTTAAAAAGTGTCAGTTTTTTGGCTCAGTCAGTAGAATTTTTTTGTGGTTAGAAATCGAAAAGAAAGATCCAACGGTCGGGTTTGCATGATTATTTATCTACGTTTTTGTTTGTTTTTGGTGTGGTTCATAATCTGAGGATTTCAATGGCCTATGAGTGATAAAGAACTGCTTTGTGTCGTGTGTATTATCTGAGTTTGGACCTTACGTTTTGGGAACGAGATAATGCTGACGTGTCCATTATCCGACTCGCACTAATGCATCAAAAACTATAATTTTAAATTATAACTTTGTAATCAAGATAATATTTACAAACAAAAATTATGTCAAAAGGCAAATCAATATTCTTTCATCTTCAATTTTTTTTTTGTCAACCATTTATCTTCTTTCATCTCATTTTTAAAAACATAGTAAAATGTTTCTACACACATAGTTAAAAAAAAAAGAGAGAGGTGCAGGTTATGAGAAATGAAGATCAAGGCTTCTGCTGCTTCTCTATATCATACAGTACACAGACATCTGCAGCTGTTTTCATCTGAAAGCATAATAAAAAAATCCAATTACAAACCATAAACAGCTTCTAATGAGACAATTAGTGGCAAATTTGGCCATAAGAAGAAGAAGTTAGCTTTTACCTGAATCACATTGACTGTCTGCTTCATCGACCAACCGAACAATGTCAAAGCTAGAAGAAAAGACAGTGGTGAAATCTCCGTTAAAGTGGAAACTACGACCTGCAACGAGAGGAGACATGTTTAGTAGTTGAGTTGAAAGTAAGAGCTAAACTAAACGAAAGGGAAGGAAGAGCTAACAACATTCAGGAGATTTTCGGTTTGGTTCTTTGCAATGAGAAGAAGGATGATATACAGAACCTGCACGTTTTCACAAGATTTTTGCGTTTAAGAAGACATTAACATGGAAACAAAAGAGTCTTCTTTTAGAGGCAAATCCACTCACCTCGCAAGAAACACAGCAGTAACACATAAATATCCGGTTCCCATAGTAGAGCCTGAAAAGCCAGCTTGTGCTGTCTTTCACATCCTTATGGCTGCTCTTCCCTGCTAGAAACGTACTGCGAGTAGAGAGTATATTATAAGTTCCCACAGGAGATTTAAAAAGCAACAAGAAAGAGTGAATTAGATAGAGTACCTGTACATCTGCAGCCAATGACTAGCAATATCTAAAGCCAGCAATGAAAGGAAGACCAAGCTAGGCCTGTTTAATGACGAAAGAAAAATGCATCAGTCTACTCCACCTCCAAAGATGCGAGGAAACAAGATAGAGAGAAGTATCCTCACCTGTAGACTTGAGAGAGAATCACGAGTAAACAGGCTGTGCTAACTCTATAACAAAGAACATCCCCCAAAGTTACAACAAAGAGAATGTCAGAATTGATTCAAGAGATAAGTAGATTTATCCTCGCATATATATGTTAGAAGAAGATTCACCTATCTGTCACCATGTCAAGAACAGCTCCAAATGTTGAAACTGGAGGAAGCAAAGAAAGAGAAGCGAGTCAAGTTCTAGATTCCTACATATTGAAAGTAATGGCATGCCTTGGCTAGTAGAATCACAAAAAAGCCATTGCTTATTGCATTGAAACTAAACACTAGCAACATAAAGTCCCAATCTTGATCAGTGGTAGGATCTTATGCAAAGAAAAGCTGATTTCTAAAACATTAGACACGATATAAATTACAACATTAGAGAAGAAGTTGTTAAACCTTGGTTGAATCTACGAGCACACCAGCCATCCACAGCATCACAACAAAAGCTGAGGAGCCACATTGATCAAAAAGACTATTTTATTAAGCCATTACCCAAAACAAGAACACTCCTTGATAACAAAATCCAAACAAGAAGTTGCAGGGAATGAAAAGATTAAACTCTCACCTGAAGAAATAGAGCAGCGAGAAAAGTGTCTTGTTGGAGAAACACACAGCGAAGGCAACACAGTTCAAGAGAACTCTCATATACCCTAAAAAAAGCAATCAATATAATCATCACAACGATCACTCTCACGCCAAAAAGAACAAAGTCAAAAAAAGAAGATGACGAGACCCACCAACAATATTAGGTATATAAAGGTAAACAGACAACTTTTCTGGTCTAGGTCTCTCCTTCTTCGCCATCACAAGCGTTAATCAATTTACCCCAAGATACACAATCTTTACCAAATTCAACGATTCACCTGCACATAGCAAAAAAGAGAAGACTTTTCTCATAACCCATCACCGGAAATGCGTAGAGACAAAGAACCCATCTCAAAACCCAGAAATCTGAATTCAGTAGAAACAGCGAAATCAACCAAAATTAAGTAAAAAAATCGAACAATCCTCACTTGGAAATGGGTTAGAGTTGTGGCGATCTTGAAGTTAGGGAAGAAGAGATCTGAAGAAACGAGTCAAAAACAGAGCGTCAAGTTCTTCAAATCCAAATCAAATCGAACCAGATTCGGCCGCCATTGCCAGGTATTCTTAATCTGGCCGCTTTTCAACATTCAAAAAAAAATTGGAGATTCTGATTTAGAAATGTCAATGTTTATCAACAGTTGTATCAAATAAACCCCTCAAAGTTTAAACATTCTCAATAAGTTTCCAAAAGTAATGAAAATATTTATCCATAATTATCAATTAAACCCTCATATTTTAAACACTCTCAATACTTCGCCGTATGTAATGAAAATATGACAATACGCATCCAAATTGGAACCTTCTTTGTATATTGAGAGTGTAGCAAGAAACAGTTTTTTATTTATTTATTGTGTGTAAGAAGAAGATGAGTCAAACACACACACCATTACAAACAAAGGACAAAGCCATTATTGAAACATCATATAACAGTTTTTTTTTTCTATAACAAATTTTGGTCTTTAATTATATATAGTAGATAAGATTTTCTCTTATTTTGTTCATCATACAAGGCGTCTGCAGAGTGTGATACCATCTCCAATGGAAACTTGAGACATATCAACTCGAGGATCTGAAGCTATTAGCTTATTGAACTTTAAGATAGCTTCTCTATATAACCTCATATGATTTGGAACTTCCTCTTCTTCCTCAGCAACAGTACCGAACCATAAGGTATTGTCGAAGGCAATGATTCCTCCAACCTTCACTAACTTAAGCAGTATCTCGAGGAACTTGCCGTAGCTCCTCTTGTCAGCATCCACAAATGCGAAATCGTATTCTTGTTTCTTCTTAACCATAAGCCAAAAAAGTTTGGATTAGCTTAATTAGACCAGTTCTACTAATTAATATTCCATGTTCTTTGAATGCGCAGATATTAAAAAAAAATATATGTATATAAATGATCTCTATATGTGTTTGAACAGTACTTATTTGACGTATAGAGGTAACATGAAATAAACTCAGATGCTACATAGAAAATTGATACCAAAAATGTTCGAATAATATGAAATAAATAATAAATTGTTAAAAATATCTCATAGAACGAAACGGAGGAGTAAGAACAATTTTTACGTACCCCTTTCAACAATTGGTCTAAGGCCTCAAGAGCATCAGATTTGATGAAATTAACCTTGTGATCAACACCTGCTTTCTTCATATACTCTAGTCCCATGTTGTAGCCTGCATGGTCCATGTCTATCGCAGTAACCTGCATCCGAAAAGTCCATTATGATACTAATTTAATCGTGACAAGATCGATATCAAGAACCATTGTTTTAATAAAGAATTAAAGTATATGATTAGGAAGAAGAAGAAGAAGAATTGTTACACGGCCATCTTCGGGTAAAGCAAGAGCCGTGGTGAAAAGTGAGTAACCAGTAAAAACACCGATCTCTATAGTGTTTTTGGCGTTGATCATCTTTACAAGCATCGATATAAATATACCCTCATCAATCGGAACCACCATCTCGCTTCTGCGTTTTGTTTAGAAGATATATATACTTTTAGAGAATTTTTTGTTTGTTTCATATTATTTGATGAGTTGTGTTTCAATGTTAGACTATAAATTATTTTCTTTCTAAGTCTATCCCTACATTTCTTCTTATCATTTATAACAATTAGTATATAAAGTATACTTACAAATTGCCATATCTTTCGACTGTAGCTTCTCGAAGTTCCTTGAGCAATTGAGGCTCTCTTGGGTACGCTGACGTTTCGAAGATGTACTGTGACCATCGCAAAACATATGTATAACATATCATGCAGTCGTATAATCGAGTGCACATATATATATTTGTAAATCAACGATTCTTTCTAGTAAATTAAAACCTGTTTCAGAGCCTCGCTCCTGAGAATCCTTTTCTCAGGTAATGCAAAATCCATCTCTCTCTAGTGTCTCTCTCTCTCTCTCTCGCTTGCTCTTGAGAATCCCTTTTGAGTTTTACCACATGTGTATCTATGTTGGCTTTAAATAGTAACTTAATAAGTGAAATCAAACTTGTCATATCATTTGGGTGGATATGTAATTTTGGCAGAAAATATGGAATTGAGCGAGCATATGCATGTGTTTAAGTGTTTTCATATAAAAAAAATATATGTTGAATCACATATATTTCATGTTACCGCAAAAAGTTGAAAAAACTAACGAAAAATCTTTTTTTTTTAATCCATCTATATGTACAGCTTTTTACAAAGTTCATAAATCAATTATAATTACTTTTTCTTTGATAATTATGTTACGACAACTATTATACAATAATAAGTTTAATGACCTAATAGTTCTGTAACGATCTTTTTCTACGTTTCATTTTCAAGTTCACGTGTTAGACTTTGATCAAATAAGTGGTTGGTCTTACCGCCAAATCACTTTCATATAAATGTGTTTCAGTTTCAATTCTTAAATCGTTTGTATAATTAGATCATCCCATTGGTAGTATCTTAATAGGATATCTTAACTTTAAAATAATGGAAAAAGGGAAAAGAAAAAAAGGGAGTGAAAAATGAAAATTGATTCTCATTTAATTTTTTTTGTAATACTATGAAAACCCCATATCACACTTGCTTTTTTATTATTGGTTTAAATTTTCTTTTAAAATTAAAATTAAAATATAAAATATAATTACATTAAAATAATAATTTGTTTTTTTTTTAGGAAAATCTTTTTGAACACACTGATGGGGAAGCTCTTAAATGGCTAGCCATTATGCTTAGTTGGGCAAATGGCCAAGCATCCCATAGTGGGCCTAATTAGCCAATAGCAACCAATGATAAACCATAAACAAAAATGTCATAAACAAAAATGAACTCCTCCTGTATAAGCTTATTCAAAATCAAACTCATGACATGAACTTTTATTATTGTACAATAGATGAGTATATAAGAAGGTGATGAAGAGTGATCATCAATCAAACATCACCATTACAAGCAAAGTTAGTAAGATAAAAAAGCTAACGACAAAAAGTGATTATTGAAGAAGCATCTCATAACATTTTTATTCCAAACTTTTGGTCTTTAATTCTTTAAGTAGTATTTTTGATTATACAAGGCGCCTGCATAGCGTGACACCATCTCCAATGGAGATCTGAGAGACTTCGACTCGAGAATCCAAAGCCAGATTCTTATTGAACTCTATAAGAGCCTCTCTGTATTCTCTCATATGCTCTGGAACTCCCTCTTCATCCTCAGCCACAAAACCAAACCACAAAGTGTTGTCGAACGCAATGATTCCTCCAACCTTCACCAGTTTTAGAAGCCTCTCATGGAAGTGGACGTAGTTTGACTTGTCAGCATCCGCAAATGCGAAATCAAACTCCCGTTTCTGTTTTTTATTTCCCAATTTTGTATATGTAAGAGTAATTAGCCAAAAAATTAAGAAGAGTTCATTAAGTAATTAAATAAGAACACTTCTTTTTTGGTCACTTACATCGTTCACCAATTGGTCTAAGGCCTTAATACCATCGGATTGGATGAAAGTGATCTTGTGATCAACACCTGCTTTCTTGATAAACTCTAGTCCCACTTCGTAAGCTTCTTGGTCGATGTCTATTGCAGTAATCTGGATCCAAAAGAGTATTTTATTTTCTTGATAACAAATATTTTACGTTTTTAATGATCACTTCTCTTAGGTTATTTCATATACACATGCTAAAAAAATGGTCTCAACAATATGATTTATAGCAAGTAAAAAAAGGAGAAGAAGTATTACGCGGCCATCTTCAGGCAAAGCAAGGGCAGTGGTGAGAAGAGAGTAGCCGGTGAAAACACCGAGCTCGAGAGTGTTCTTAGCATTCATGATTTTTAAAAGCATCGATAGAAAATGACCTTCATCAACTGGAACCTCCATCTCGCTCCTGCGTTTTTAATTTTTAAAAGAGAAAATTCTATAAATAATACATAAACTGTATTGACATTTCTACAAACAAAAAGAAAAAAATATACAGTCAAGTTTTTTATTCAGTTTAGTTCTCAAACTGTTTAAAGATATCATTTCTTGATTAAAATAAGAAAAAGAAAAAGTGGATATAGAATACTTACAAATTGCCATATTTCTGGACTGTAGCTTTCCTAAGTTCCTTGAGCAACTCGTGCTCTCTTGGATACGCTGACGTTTCCAAGATGTACTGTGATGACGAACGCAACCAACGAAAGCACAGATTTATATATCAGAGATCCTTTTATAGCCAGACAAAACCAGTTTTATTTTTTCTTGCATATCAATTAAACTTCTAATTCGAACATGGAAATTTTTGAAGGAAAAGAAAAAAAACCTTTTTCAGAGCTTCGCTCTTGAGAATCCCTTTGGAAGGTATTTCATTAGCCATTTCTTAGACTCGTGATTTTGGCGAAGTGTTTAGAGGTGTCTTTGTATATAAACGAAAGATATGTTCGTTTGGACTTATCAAAAGCAAAACAAAAAGATGTACACTTGGCCAGTATTGGGTTCTTCTAGTCAAATTAATTGGGCAGCTAAGGGTAGAAGAGTCTGAGACTCAGATGAATGACAATTATCTATGGATCTTATCTACGACTTTTTCAACGATTCTAAAATATTTTGATGCGAATATATTTACTTTATATTTCTTTTTAAGTTTGAAGTGTTGAAAGATGTTGTGGAGTGGTGCAAGTGGATGACCAATTTGCATTGTAGTTTTGTTGACTAGCATATAAATCGGCATGATGTATGGCAGTATGAGATTTATTCAAAGAATTTAAAAAATGATAATATCAATATTATTTAAAGAATATATCAAATTAATTAAGGATATTAAAAGTATGCAATTTTTATTTATTAGGGAAAACGATATATTTTTGCCCGAGAAGTATCATATAGCATCAGATATTCTCCGAACTATGACCACGTTCTAGATATCCCTCTAGAAATACTTAAAGATCTAGATGTCCCCGAATAAATACTTAAAGAGTTAGATCTCCACAAACTTTGATTTGGTATAAACCCGAAAACCAAACAAACCAAACCAATGAACCCCTGAAACCAGACCGAAAGAAAAATCCGGATCCACCTAAACCAGATCCGATGACCCATTCCTTAAAATACCCAATTTTGAACTCCCGAAAATCCCCAATTCAAATTTATTAGAACCTTACAATCGATTTTGAAAAATCAAGTCTGCAAATCGATTTCAAATTCTCAAATACCAGTGTAAGTCCTTCGAAAATCATACAATCATTCTTGTATTTTTTGTATTTTATTCTTGTATTTCATAAGTAGAAGCTCGATTCTGGAAAATCGAGTCTGCAAAAGCGATTTTGCAAAAGCTCGATTACTCGTGCTTTGTTGATGATTCTATATTTGTAGGGGAAATCATCATGTCTGGAGCAACGAGTAATGTGTCAACACCTTCGAGCAGAACATCAAGCAATCGGCCAAGAAGCAGACGAGTTGTGGGCGTGCCAAAGAGATGTTGGTGTGGCGAGGATATTGTAGCTTTGATGTCCAAATCCGACCACAATCCGTACCGGCGATACTTCCGATGTGGTTATGCAACATCAAAGAAGGTAATATAAATTGAAAATCTCATTTGTTGGTTGTGATTCGTTAGTTGCGATTATTATTGATGTTGGTTTTTCTGTTTTTAGCTTATGAATGACCATCATATATTCAAATGAGTTGATGAGGCAGTCTTAAATGAGATTGAGACATTGCAATTCAAAAATGCAAGACTTGAACAAGAGTTGAAAGAGATTACTACAAAGCGTATGGAGTTTGAGAATGATGTTTTTGAGAAGCTTCAAATGAAGCTTGAGAATGAGATAATGGAGAGGATTGAAAATGGCTTGATTGATGCAAAATGTAGCATGAAGAAGATGATGGTACTTGTGGTCATTGGGTGTATGATTGTTGTTGGATTCATGAAGCTAGTTTAAAACAAATGATGATGATCTTCTTAGAGTTTTGTGTTGTTGTTTAGTGTTTTGCTTTGTTGTTTAGTGTTCTTCTTAAAACAAATGGAAGCTAGTTTGTGCTTTGTTGTTTATTGGTAATGTCTTGGATTAGTGTCTTGATCATATAATTATGCTTTGTTTATTTACAATTATTTATGCTTACCATTGAAAAGTACAAGAACATAAAGAAATGGTCAAAAGCTCATATTGTATCATAAAAAAATAAGTGTAACACACAATGGTTATGAAAAACAGGACACTAAATCAAGTTCTCTCCTGCCAAAAGTACCAATAATGCAGAAACACAAAACGACCATACATAAGTTCCTTCTTCTTAGCCCTTACAAAAACCGACCCTACAAAAACCGACCTCTTCTTATCCATTACTTCCTTCTTCCTATATTTGTTCCATAGCTTGAGAAGATTGAGCTTGAGTGAGAGTTCCTTGAGAGGATTCTCCTTGAGAAGCCTGCATTATAACCAGAAACACTTAAGAAGGTTAAACTCGATACCCCAAACAAAACTTAAACCAGATACCACAAACAAAGCTTAAACCCGATACCACAAACAAATTTCATCCTAAAACACAAGTCAAAACCAGAAACCACAAACCTCTTCGGATGTCTTCTTGTGAAATCTTGAGTTATGGTCAGCTACACCACATACTTTACAATGCATTATCCTTTTCTTCACTTTGTCTGCCTTCTTGGTTGGAGACTCATTCACACCTTTCTTTCTCTTCTTGTCAGCCTTAGTTACTTTCTTCCTGCCAGGTTGATCAGGTTCAGGAGGAACATGCACATTCGGATGATTTGTTTGGGGCCAGAACCGTGCACCTCTTACTGGAACAAGGCCTTCTTCATAGTTCCTCCTCCATGTCGATGTGCGAAACCAGTGACAGACAAAATCTTCAGCTACAAGCTTTTTCACCATTATTACTCCATAAGCATGCTCGCAAGGGATCCCACAAATATCAAACTTGAAGCAAGTGCAAGTCCTCTTCTCCAAGTTGACACGGTAAGAACAACCACCCAGCCTTACTTCATATTATCCATTTGTGCCTCTAGTAACAACACATAAAGAAGCTTGCTCATGCTCGTCTGTAAGAAACTTTGTAACATAGGGTGTACAGATCCCTGAAATAAAAAGCAAAAAAACATTGAAGTGAAACAGCTAATAACACTTAAACAAAAAAACAGAACACTAAAAAAACTTATACCATTGTGGTCGTGAGATTTGGCTCATCTTTTGGCAATACGAACCATCACCAATCTTCTTATGGTTTCTAGCATATAAATAGATGCCTTCTCCCTCGCCTTTTTAATTGTCTTGTTGAAAGATTCAGTGGAGTTGTTTTCCACATCTTGACAATAATTCCCCTTCTTGTAGTAAGCTCTACACCAGGTCTTTGGATCTGTCTTCATCACATCATCAAAGACACCACTATCATAGTTTCGAAGCCTGTCCAAGTTCTCTTGAAACTGTGCATCATTATAGCTCCACGCCAAACTCCATATTAATGGCTTCATATGTTTTTTGCTCCCATGATTCTTCTTTAGGTTGCCATAGATGTGTCTCACACACTTTCTATGCTCAACCTTTGGCAATTCTTCCTTAACTGCTTTGATCAATCCCTGAAACAGAAAAGCAAGTTAAAGCAACAAGAAATATAAAATAACCAAAATTAAATAAGCAATCAAATAAGCAATTTACTTACTTTTTGCCGATCAGACATTATAATAAATCCATCAACATCATTCAATCCCAAGTCGGCCTTCAGTTTTTTCACAAACCATAACCAATTGTCAGTGTTTTCCACTTGGACACAACTCCATGCTATAGGATATATAGCATTGTCTGCGTTTCTACCTAAAGCCACTAATACTTGTCCTTTGACTTTTCCAGAAATGAATGTGCCATCAATTCCGATCAGAGGCCTACAAGTCTCTTTCCATGTTCTCCTCAACACATCAAAGCAAACATAGAAACTATTAAACACATCTTCGCCTTCTGCATTTTTAAAAGTATCAATCTCCACACTTGAATCCTTATTTGACTCCACTAACTCAGCAGCATAATCTCTAAGGCGAGCAAACTGTTGATCATAATCATATTCGATCCATCTCAATGCTTTATTTCTTGCAGCTTGACACTGAGCCCTAGATACAACAATCTTCCATCTTTCCATCACAATTTCTTCAATCTTCATAGGCATGTAATAATCAGGTTCCTCTCTAATCTTATCAACAAACATCCTAGCAATAACATGGACCTTAAACATCTCACATTCTCCATTAGGAACACAGCTATGCTCATCTACGAACAACCTAATTCTCCACATTACATCATTTGGCAGGATCGAAGCATATACTTGCCACATACATCCATGGTTTTCTTCAAGATCACTAATACCACTAACACCACCAACACATTTAAACCCTATTTTATCCTTATCATACCTGTATTGCTTCAAATTTCGATCAGTTCTTAGTACATAGTCGAGCACATACTCTTTAAATGCAACTCCATTGAAGAATGTTTGGTCCTTGTATAATCTTCCATCACCACGTCTGATATTGTTCTGCTGTCTTTGTCTCTCTCGTCGAACACCTTCTTCAACTTCTCCGTCTTCTCCTTCATCACTATTGGTTTCGGTTTCAGGATACACATCATGTTCGATTGGCTGCTCATCCTCGAACTCTAAACATTTTCTGGATTTCACGATTTAGGGTTTGTCGATCTAGGGATTTTACAATTTGGGGATTTTTTTCGGGGGGGGGGGGGGGGGGGGGGGGGGGGGGGGGGGGGGGGGGGGGGGGGGGGGGGGGGGGGGGGGGGGGGGGGGGGGGGGGGGGACGGGTATATTTGGTTTAAATCACATAATTGGGTCTAATTGATTTAGATATCTGTAATTCGATTGTAATTAGGTTTAATTAGGTTTAATTCAGTTCATTATTGGCTCATCTTTGTTTTTCAAACCACTAAACCATATTAAACCAATGTCTATGGAGTCTGAAGTTTCCAAATCAAAGTTTGTGGAAATCTAACTCTTTAAGTATTTATTCGGGGACATCTAGATCTTTAAGTATTTCTGAAGGGATATCTAGAACGTGGTCATAGTTCGGGGGACAGCTGATGCTATATGATACTTCTCGGGGGGAAATAGATCATTTTCCCTATTTATTATCAATTATGTTTCCATAAATCATCAAATTACCTTTGACGATCTATGTAAAACTACAAAGTAAGAGAAGCTATCCAATGCATTTTAGGGATTTCTACATACAAAAAAGGTCGTCATGTGGTGCAAAATTTTCCATTACAAAATATCATAACAATTACAACACCTACAACGTTTAATAGAAAAAAAAACGTCAAACCGAAAATTACAAACACAACACTTGACGAATTAGGCTTAATGAGCATGACTTATGGTGCCACGAGGATATTTTCGGCGAAATCTTTGCATGAACCATTGGTGTTTGTGTGAAATGAAGATATGTCCAATCACCAAACCACAGAACACACCAGGTACATAGGCTATCGCGGCTGCTATCCAGTTAAACACTTCTTCAGGCTCAAACGCAAAATCTTCGGATTGTGGTGATGTTGCATCCGGAACATGATTTTTTCCACAGACTTCTTCGAGACCAGTGAGTCCGAGATTGTTCTCGAATGAAGAACAATTCTG